TCACTCTTTATTTTTCAATTACCAAAGTCCTTGTGTTTATACATACCTTGTGTTTCTTACGTACCATTTAGCTTTACAACAAGAAATTTGATTAGCTGTTCATAGTAGATCCAATCTGATTGGTGTGACATACATACATCTCTCTCTCACTCACTCACTCACTCACTCACTCTCCCATTGACCCGTCCATAACATACCCGACATGCCGACTAAGAGGTATTTTTTTTTACAAAAAAATAACTCAACAAATACCCTTTACTATGTGAGTTTGAGGTCTGTACTGTAAGTTATGAACCAAGTTTTCCCCCTTAGATTTATAGCCCAAGCAGAAAAATCGAGGATTCATAACTTACAGTACAGTCTGTGACAGCAAGGTTAGTAAGATATTTATTATATCTCTGCTGTGTGTCTGACAGGTTAGGGAACGATTTCTATTCAGGTGGAATGGCTTCAAATTTCTGACGCACATTGAAAGTAAAACAAGTCAATTTGAAATTGTTGTTAAGCTATTAGCATGTTTATTACACTATTAACCCATTGACTCCTGTGCCAGCCATAACCGGCTGTGACAAGCCTTGGCCTTTTTTCCACTTCTGACGTCATCACCCTTGACCAAAATGGGCATTATCTATTCTCAACTTCTGCAGGAGGAAAAGATCTTTCCAATGATACCCAGATCAGAGTGATTGGCCCAATGGATCCTGAGATATGCACAAAAATGCTTAAAAAGTTGAGTGAAAAATTCAGAGCAAAATTTCCTGCCCCTACATGTGGCTACTCCATGGCAAGAATTGCCTGTCTCAATGATGCTTTCTCAGAATGTTTTATACTGGAAGCATGCCCAGTAGAAGGTCAATCAGTGCAGCAAAAACAAAAGAAAAGGAGAAAAAGGAAAGGCAAAAAAAGAATTAAAAATCGAAAAGCCTAAATTTTGATTTCTGCGCATGCCTGAGCGAAAATGCTGTAAAACGCGATGCTAGTGGAAAGAAAGGCATGGTGTCCTGTTGCAAATGCGTTTTTGAGTAGATTGGACCTAATTTCGCCCATATCCAGCCTGAAAATCTTCAAAATGTCCAAAAAATGCATTTTTAGCAAAAAGCTCCAGGAGTCAATGGGTTAAAAGTTAAAGAAAGTTTTGAACTTTTACTTGCTATAAAAGTTAAGAACACCTGAAAAAAATCAAGAAACATTTTGCAAACAAGCAGGCTGCGTAGTAGAATATGACCTACTAAATTGACCGATCACAGCATGTGTAGTAAGTAAGAGATGTAATAAAACTTGATAGAAAATAGGGTCAGGTCCAGGGAGTTAAGAAACAGGGGCCTGTAGTAACGTTCAATGCCCTAGGGGAGAGGGGTTGCAAGATGAAAACACTTATGTAAATAGTGTAGTAAGTTGCTGCTGTTATTCTTGTAGAGGATAACAAAATTCTTTGTATTGGGAATTTTGTATTACTTGTAGTGAGTGAATGGTAGGCATATTTTGTAGTATAAGGATTACATTTTTTTCCACTTTTTTCAAGGAGCTGCTCCATACAGTTAAAATGGAGTAAAATTTTTTATTATTATATGGCTGTGTCTCACAAGGACTGGGAACTACCGAATTCATGAATTTGATTGGCTGAAATTGATATTGACAGCGGTCTAGATTTTTGCCATCTAGACCGGCATCTAGACTGGTTTCATTTTGCATTGAAAAAGTAGCAAACTCAAATACAAAAATGTTCACCGTTTTCTTTTATTTTCTTCTCAATCATTTGTGGAAGTGCCAAAAAGCCTGATGAAAAAAAAAAAGTAAAGAGGACGAGCAAATTTCGGCAGGTTTATTAGTTAAGCTCATCTCCGCTTGCAAGCAAACCAGTTACATTAAACGAATAAAAGTTTTCTTCTTTGCCATATAATAAACATCTTATTAACCGAGCTAAGTTGGTCTATATGGGAGAATCTTGACCTCAGTCGTGTGTACAGACCTCACTGCGTTCGGTCTGTACTCACGACCTCGGTCAAGATTCTCTCACACAGACCTCCTGCTTGGTTAATAAGAGCTAATTAATGAGTTTGAGAAGTATCTTCTCAATCAAAATTAAAACTGAGGAGAAAACAGAGAATTAAAATCGTAAAAATCTATGCTAATTGCGGGATATATCTTTGTTTGGATTTTTCCTTGGTAAAGTAAAAAGACAGCTTTGCTATAGACTTTGCTACAACTTTCTCAAAAGACAAAGTTTCACTTGTAATTTTTTTTTTCACTCAGGAAGGCAATTAATTTTTCTACTTTTATTGAATGTTTGAATGCTTTTAAATCAGCCCTTTTCCTTCTAGGTCTGCAAAATATTGCCAAAATATTAACATTAGATCCCCAAAATATCACCAAACTTGTACATAACGTTTACATAAAATTAAACTTTGCATATCCAAAATTCCTGACTCAACTTCCATTCAACTTCCATTCATGAATTCTTGCCCTCGCTGATGGGCAGAAAGGAGAACATTATTTTCTGCCACTTCATTAAGAAACAGAACATAACACGAACAACAGGTGAACTTGCAAATACATGATATCAGCCACAATGGAATTGTTGCAGGAAACTTGCTAAATTGAAACATTCACGGGCCTTGCTCTGAGGTTAGCAAGGCATAAATAGTGCAATTTACTTTTTAATCTGTTTATTTTCTTTTTTTTACAAGGATCAAATACCGGTTACATTGGTGAAACAGCTATACATTTTTTTCTTTTAGCTGTTGAATTTTCCAGAATTCTAAGCAATTTTAGGCAGTAATGAGTGGTGCTACAGGCAGTAAATTTTACCAGTTACCACCTGAAAAGGAGAACACTGCACTATGGAGCTTAAGGCTGAGCATTAGTCGCGTTAGGTCTCAAATGTAAGATAAAGAGTTCCAACTAGCCTTTTGTAACACACCAAGCTTTGAGGTAGAAGAATTTATATTAGTTATGCAATGCTTTTGAGTGGTATACCATGGAATTTCCCAAGAGTGACCCTTGTATTTCCACAGTATACACACAAGCCTTTAAACGAGTGTGTATACAAAGAAATCACAAGCGACAAGTAGGATATTCCATGGTATACCACAAGAGAGCATTACTTAACTATTTTGCCTAACACATTTTACAATGTGACAAATGTACAGCTCACAACGGGAAGGTTGGGTGTCATACCATGGAATATGCAATAGCTTTCCTGTATTCTGATTGGCTGTATTTTCTGGGGCATGATGTAAATATTTCATATACACCTATTAACATGAATGTGGGTGTCCTCAAGATCTTGAAGTGATCTAGATCTAACCTGTACATTGGTCGATGTCAGTCGCTATACTGGCCATTATATAGAGAGTCAGACTGACACTTGAATGATTGCGGACCGATAGTGGACGAATACTTGGGCAATGAGGGATTGACAGACAACTAATAATTGATGAAAAATTCCAAATCTTCGAAACTCAAACAAATAGTACAAAAATTTCAAGGAAAAGTTTCCAGAAAATATTGAAATTGTTGTATTCCTGCAAAGCAAACCATTCAGCCAAAAATTTCGTCAATTCTGGGAGGAAAATTAATGGAACAAAAATTCCTAGTGAGAAATTTCTGAAAATATGGGACAGTATACCTCTCTATTAATGTCCTCTTTCGTGGACATTTGGTAAAATGTTGCTCCATTCGTCAATAGAAATTTCCATAAATTCAACCCAGAATTGTTGATCAAAAAGAAAGATCCCCTAGTCGACTATAAACCAAGAGTTAACAGCTGGTGTCAGTCAATGTGTCAACCATGATATTATTGGTGGCTCATCAATCAACTATCAGTCACACGTCAGTCAACTGTCAGTTGCATTTCAATTGATTTATTGTAAATCAATCAATATGTTGGCATACAAAAGTGTCAATACATGTAGCTCAAGAGTCACGTTCAGACTTGTCTGATCAGTGAGCTTGGGTCACTTGTGAGCAAAGTCAAAGTAAAATGTTCTTTAGTATCTAAATTTCAACCCCGGGTATGTTCTTAACTTGTTGTTAACTTCTAGCCCTTTTTCAACCTCAATGTCCTTATAGGAATGATCTTATCCAGTGCATGTATAATACAAAAAAAGCATAAGAAGTAATTCATATAGTGTGATTGTTTGGGTAAGGATAAGAACATTAGTTTGTTGTCATCTTCAGGGTCAGTACTGCGGCCCTAGGGTTTTGTTTGGGTTTTTGCCACCTGTTGTTCTCTTGGTGTACCTGACTGCTTTTTTGGAATTTTTGTACGTGCAGCCTACATGTAGAATGTTGTTTGGTTCACACTGTGATAAGCAACATGGTAATGCAATTGCAATACAAGACTTTTTTTCTATTTCTGAGTGGGAAATTTAAAGTTCTGATTTTTCAGAGAATTATGAATAACACAATAATAATGCATTCCTGCATCACCCAGGACCACCAATTAAAGAAACTGAGCACTGTATATAAGGTGTGTTACTAGCATATCAAATCTCAAAATGCCGGTAGAGTTCCAAAAAAATCAAATGATGACACTAACAGTTTTCTTGAATGAAACATTAAAGAATCCTAGTCAGCCTTCACCATTTTCAATGACATCAAAATTATTGATATTGCATGGGGAAGCAAAATCTTGTTGCTTTATGGCAAGTTGTGTTCCTGAAAGTATGTTTAATTATCTTATGTAGTTTTACAATTATTTCCTTCAATTTGACACGCTCCAAATAAAATATAATAGCCAAACTCTTGCATGTAAACAAAAACAAAGGTGTGGCTGACTGGGGACTTTTAACTAAGCACCTCTGTATTTCCATCGCTTTCTTCCAAAGAGACATCCGCTCTGCCATTCTCATCTTTTGTCAATGCTGAAAAGTGCAATTGAGAGAGAAAAGAATTAAACTTTATATTACTTATAAATATCACACCTTGGCATATTCATTCACAGTTTTATGCAAATGCATTTCTTTGGTAGACTCCATGATAAGGTTTTAATCCCTGATCACAAAGATTTGTTATACCTCAACATACTTGTACCTGTATTTGAACATATATGTACCTGTATTACCAACATGGAAGTTTGCTTATAGAAAATGACTTATTCATTTTAACATGACAAATAAAAAATGAAATAAACAAAATAAGAAAATATATATAATTATTCTAATGCCACTATACATTCTAGTTTCTTCCACTTTGACGGTAAAAACCACTTCAAATTTGTTTCAATTTCAAGAGAAAATAGGGAAGATAGTATTAAATGCAAAAGGTGCTATTTGATTACGAACCATCCTGTACTAATGATGAAACCAACAAGTTATCTAAAGACTCACTGTGAAGTCTGCAGCAACATTTGGAAGATTGACCTGCCACAAACTCTGAGCAATTTTACGCAGACATAAATGGCTTAGACTTCTTCCATTTTTTTGTGATGATGCAAAAGATTGAAACCTGGAGAAGACTGTCATGGATTACAGCTCTCTCGCCTTCTGGATAGAGCATTCTGCTCTTACATTAATTATTGATCCTGTCCTACAAGCCACATCAACCTCTGTCTGCCATTTACAAATTAAACCTAGTGTCAAGTGGCTAAAACTCTCTAATGTGAAAACGTACAACCTTGATCATGTACATTTAGTTATATGCCACACACTATGACTTCTTGGCTGATTATTCAAATACTGACAGATCACTGACAGTAGGCCAACTATCAGCTGACTGTTGGTCTGTGTTTTAGCCTAAACCTGTCAGCCGACAGTCAGCCATCTGTCCGCCGACAAACAGCCAACAGTTGGCAAACAGGTGGCCAATAGTCGGCAGACAGGCGGCCAACAGATGGCCAACAGAAGGCTGACAGTCAGCCGACAGACGGCCAACAGGTTGTTTTGGGAGCTGTTCTTCAGAATTACCCTAATTTGTATGCAACAGCTTTGCAAAATATTGTTTATGGAATACTGTTCAAGCAGTAGGGTATCCAGCAGTTTCTCCCTAAGTGGAGGGGTCGTACAGGGGTATTCTCGTGATGCGTGATTAGCTGATTTTATTTTCCGTGAAGTGTGAATTTAGGAAATTATTCTTCGTGATCCGTAACCTGAAGGTTTTGCGTGACCAATGAAGAACTTGAATATTAACTGATATTCATAATTTCACCACTCTATTCTCCGTGATTTTGAGATGCAAGTTCTCTGAAAGGTTAGAGTCGTCTATCGAGAGTGACTTAGACATGCCATTTGCAATATGGAGCCTTGACTTAGCCTTTTACGATTTTTCTTTCTTCAAACACTCTTTCTAGTGTAAGAACAGGTTATTGAAAAGAGTATCTTACTTGCTTATTTTTGTGATTCGAGAAAACAAATTTTTATATCCGTGATCTGTGATCCTCTATTTTTTCTGTTCATGAACCGTGCCAGAGGCCCCCCTGTACAACCCTCCAAGTACATCTACAAGCAAACAACAAAGAAACCTAAGAAAAAATTATGAGAGCCCATCAGTAGGCTGCGAGGAAGTTAAAGAATAGTAAATACTAAAACATGGAATGACCTACAACCACCAAAAACTAAATACAACCACCTTCAGAATACTATTTTTATAATTTTAAGGCATTTTAGTGACAATTTTGTGGACAAATTTTTGCTCACACCGTGAGCAACTTCAATAACTACACACCAGAAACGTTGTCTTTTGTTTCACGGGTTCCTATCAAAAGCGAAATTAGTACCCTTGAAACATAAGTCATTGTCTGCGACATGAGCCCATTCAAAAATTAGGGATATCGCGAAAGTAACCCTGTCGTGCTTCAAA